TCCGCTTCAAAATACAAACATTTTATTCCTATCCTCGCTCTCAGCTAATGACCTTGCTTCTTAAATCAATAAAAAATAGGAAAATAACTTTCACAAACTCCCGCCATAATAGCTATTAAAGTATATACATCATTGTCTACACAGTTCGTCATCACTTATGTTACTATGGATAGACTATCCATGATTCTCATAAACATTTCTACTTTCTCACTATATTCCATCTACTCCTATATACTCAAGGGATCATTATAGCAGTTTTCTTTTCTCTCTCTTGCATCATCAAATATCCCTCTCTACTAAATCATTCCCATGTAAATGAAAACATGCATACAACTTCTATAGCTATTGCATAATTTTTTTTCCTGCTCTTTACAGGAAAGTTCTAGAGTTGGGAACACATGCTATCTCTATTACTTCTCTTCCTATTCTCTCCTGAACTTACAGTAATCAAGATTCTCTTTTCAACAACTCTGACAACAACAAAAGAGAAGGAGGTTAACAATGGTATCAGGGAGATCTATTAAAAAGCAGTTGTGTCATATTGACAAATATGGAGTAAATTCAGTGACTCAAATATAACTTTAATTTATGGAGACTATCAGTGAATGGTATAGTCTTTTCAAAATTACTGCCAAGAAAGGCAAATATGATTTAGCAAACTTCTTGCTTAGAAATCTCTTTTGGCTCTCAATGACTTAAAGAATTTAGCTCAGTATGTTTATCATATTATAAAATTATCTTTAATGTAGGGATGAGTCAAGAAAACTAAATGTTAAATCAAGCTAAATTCAGAGACTGCAATGTGTTAATCACCCCTACTACCAGACCATGAGGAAACCTACAGAACAAAGGAAAATTTCTGCTAAGATTAGTAACAAACCACTTACCCCATACCATGAAGGAGAAACAGAACAGTAGAATTTTTAAGTTACTCCTACACAAAATAACACAATCATTCATTCCCTATGGTTAAAACCTTCGATCAAAGGCTAGGAATTGCCAGCAGATCTTTCATGCTACATACTTTTACCTTTTACACTGTATACCCATACTGCCAAAGGAAAATGGGTAAATTCTTTGAACTGTAATTCATAGAAACTAAAAATGATATACAAACTGAATTTTCCAAACACTCAGAATCCCTTTCTTTGTCTCTGTCTCTGTCTCTGTCTCTGTCTCTCTCTCTCTCTCTTTTTAGAGCTTGAGTCTCCCCCTTCCCCCAACTTGGGAGTATTTGTCCTGTTCTGCATCACCTTCACTACCTATTTCTTCATCTCATATTCTATTCCTTCTATTCTATTCTATTCTATTCTATTCTATTCTATTCTATTCTATTCTATTCTATTCTATTCTATTCTATTCATTGCATCCAATTCCTCTTCTATCGTACACATCATGCTCTCAAAACAATCTTTCACCATTCTTCTTATTTTTGTTGTTTTCTGTTGCAAACTGATCTATTATTGTACAATGTACATTCCTCCCTTCTCAGTCTGATAAACTCTAGTTTTATTAAAGGTGGTAGGAAAAGAAGAAATCCAAAATAGAGCTGACTTTATACTTAAATGACTGGATATTAATACATTTTGTAAAAAATGTGACATAAAGACAAAAATATGAGAGATGAATTTATGTTAGAAACATTTATTGTTTTATTGAGTTCAGTTTTTACCACATGAATAAAAACATTTAAGTTTAGAGCTTAGAATGGAGGGAGAGTCTGGAGATACAGATTTTGAACCATCAATGTGTAAATTTATTAAATATTTATTTGACAAAAATACTTTAAGCAGCAATATTGTGGAAGCTACTTTGAATACAAAGATAAGTTATAGCCTCCCTTTAAAAGATGTTAGAATTATTATAGAAAAATAAGTTGCTGGTTAAAATAATAAAACTGAAGAACTAGAAAATGGCCAAGAATGTAAGAGTGTAGAAGTTATTAAAGGTGAATAGATTAGAAGATCTATGGAGTCAGGGTTCTGCAGAGAGACAGAACCAGTAGGACATTTATGGATGATAGATAGATAGATAGATAGATAGATGATAGATAGATAGATAGATAGATAGATAGATATAGATAGATAGATAGATAGATAGATAGATTTATTATGGGAATTGGCTAAGATATGCCACAATCTGCCACATGCTAGCTGAAGAACCAGGAAAGCCAGTGGTATAATTCAGTTTAAATCTGATTGCCTGAAAACCAAGGAAACCTATGTGTAGCTCCCAGTCAGAGACCAAAGTCCTGGGAACAGGGGCATGAGTTGCTGCTGCCAGTCACATTTTCCAAAGGTCCAAGAAACAGTAGCTCCAGTGTCCAAGGGAAAAAAAGATGTCTCAGCTCAAGAAGAGAGAAAAGTTGCCATTCCTCTGCCTTTGGTTTATTTGCGCCATCAACAAATTGAATGCTGCCTACTCACATTGTTGAAGAGGTATTTTCTTTACTTAGTCTACTGATTCAAATGCTAATTTCTTCCAGACACACCCAGAAGTAATGTTTTACCTGCTATCTGGTTATTCCTTAGCCTAAACAAGTTGACGCATAAAATTAATCATCACAATCAATCTAATACAGAGTAAGTGTATAAATGTTTAGAAGGAAGTGGTATAAGTGGAAGCAGAAGTAGGAAAAAACTTAGATAAAGATGACAATAAGGTAGTACTTTTTTAGCAACCTTAACAATAATCATAGGATAAAATGACACTGAATAACATATTTTGAGAGTAGTAATGTGAAGCATACAGGCAATTACCTATGTTTTCTTGTCACAAATATGGATACTTTTTATTATAAGAGAAGTGTTGTAATGAATAATTTTTATTTCTCATGTTTAAATTATGTCTCAATACATTCTAAGAGAACTTTAGTCACACTTAAGATCAACTTTGATCACAAAATTGCCAATTAAGTAGGCACTTTTCGGTTCTAGAACATTTTACACTGTAGATAACTAATGTGTCTGAAATTCTCTCATCCTTTACCTCACTTGTGGTGATCCTATTTCCTTTTAAACAATTTTTCTATCTCTTTGGTGAGAGAGAAAGACAGACTGAGGATGAAAGAGGGAGGGAGAGCGAGAAAGAGAGAGAGAGAGAGAGACTGCAATGTCTGGGATATGCCATGTTTCATAAACCAAGTTATCAGAAAAGCAATGAAAGATATATTATTCTGACCCAAGAGGTATCCCCAAGAAGACCTTTGGATTTATTTATCCACTGTAAAGGCTGCCAGAGATAACATGATGATGACAGGGAAGCATGAAGAGGACTATGAGCAGTAGGATCTGATTGAATTCAGAGCCACTCTGAAGTCAGAAACAGAAATGTTTTTTTTTAGTGAGTGTGAAAGTCAGAGTGTCCACGAAGTAATCATTAAAAGATACAAGATATCAGGGGAAAAAATTCATAGTCTCTTTATAGGAACAAAATACCCACAAAGATATTTTAATTTTTAATAACAGATCTTTCTATGGTTAGAAATAAAGGAATAAAAGAAGAAATTATATTTCCTGTGGGAATCAAGGAAACCCAAATATGTGGGAGTCAGGAGCAGAGTTCTTGACCTTTAATGAATAATTTTATCTTTGTGAGAATGACAATGACAGTAAACTTAAAGACAAATGAAAGAATAACGTTGCTTTTTTAACCCATGTATATGTAACTTACATTGCAGTTCTATATGAGAATTGGTAAAGCTTGTTCATTTGAGCTATGATAAAGTAATATATTTAAAATTTTGTTTGAAATTCTTGTTAAATTTTCACATGAGACTTTAATTCCTTTGTTCTAGAGTTTCTGTTGGTATAGATATGAAATGTTGATTAGCTCACAATTTTAAATCTTTAGAGAATAACAGGCTACTAATGGTATGTATGAAGCTGTTCTTTCAAAGAACCGTCAAAGTATTCTAAAATACAACCAGCTTTGAATTTGGATCATATGCATTTTTCCAATAAATTCTAGATCTCTGGTGTAGCAAAATCAGTATCACAGATTAGTTTACCATTCTTTTTAACTTATACATAGCTATGCAATTATGAGGAGAAAATGAAAACCATATTTTTTACCGATATTCTCAAATCAACAAATTTGTCCCAGAAAAATTCTTGAACTCTAACATTTACGATGTTTAGCATCTAATGTGTAGGCACACTGGCAAACTACATCAGGGTTCTGGAAAAAAAATAATGATTCTAATATCTTAATCTCTTTAATGTATTAGAACTTTTTTGAATAAATAAAATCTTAATTGTGAAAGAATAAACTTGGAATAATAATACCCAGATTACCATATTAATAACCTCAACATTACCAATTTAAATAAATGAGAATATAAATACTAAATGATATGCTACTTCATCTATATTACAAATTACCTAAATGTTAAAGATTAATAAAAAAATATGTATTTTCATAGAGTAATAGGAGAAGAGTTATTTTGCACATGCAGGCTGGTACTTATTTGATGCACAGTGGAACACACAATCCATTTGTTAAGAAGTTAAGCTATTTCCAAATCACTTAGTGCCCCAGCCACTAAGACCTTATCTTGGAATCCTGCAAACCTCTGCATGATCCAGCAGCTATCACAGCAGGGGGTCCAGGACCTCGTTCTAGTGCTGTGGTCTGTGTCACTTCTGGTTGTTCAATTCTTACGTTATCACCCCTGTACACTTGTGCATATGTAACAACTAAGCAAGAAATAAGTCTTTTATTTGAGAAAGGAAAGTCAATGTAATGATTCTGAGATAGAACAATAAGGCCCTATATTGATCAGCTATTCCCTGAGGTTCCCAGCAATAGCAAGAATGTCCTATTAGAAGACATCAGACAATGAGGCGGAGAATGTTCTGTGAAGCAAGTTTATTTGCCAGATAGTTGAAATACCCAGTCATTTTTAAATCTGTTTTTGACTCTGGTAGGATAGCTTTCTCCTTCCTCACATGAACTTAACCACAAGCCCTTTATTTTGTGGTGAATTTGGAAGAAGCCTATTAAACCAAATCTTCGATCTTCACTAATGCGGCGGTCTTCTCACAAATCCAAGAAATTTCAGCACTACAGCGGGAAATATAAATATGTCCTTTTTGAAAATAGGCACATCCTTTGGATCCATTGATCTGGGCATATTCTTTAGTACTAAATCTGAAAATTAATATATTTAAATTAATTACAAATTACAAATTTAATTTATACATCAAATACTTGAAGTTTGATCACAGTTCAGTGTTCTCCATTATCAAATATATATCTGAACGTTGAGTGACTTCTGCTTCCATCGCACATCAAAATCCCTAAAGCTGGCATATTTGAGTTCTTTATTTCAAGTTAATCATAATCCTAGGTAAAATTATTTAATGAGGATACTTAAATTCTGTGTTGAGATACTTAAATTCTCTCATTAATGCTGTAGAAACTACTCATTGTATTAGAATTTCTTTACTTTGGAACTTTATGAAGAAAAACAGGAAAATGGAATCACATTCTGTATAAAAAGCTGTATATTTTATTATATTTTACTATGTACAAATATAATTTTGTATATATTTATTCATGTATGGGGAGGTGAAGAGAGAACAAGACAGAGGGTAAGAGAGAAAATTAGTAACTACATAGATGTGGTTGATATCAGTCCCTAGTTCTTCTGCTAAAGAATTGGCGATAATTCTTAAACAATGTCATTAGAAAATAATGCTTTTCAGGTCTAAATCTTCTGCGTGCCTCAAATTGTTTTTTTTCCAAACGATCTCCATTACAATGCAATATTTTTTTCTTGCGTCAGGACTAAGCTTACTAAATCCTACTCTAAGTATATGCACTTGCTCAGCCTTTACTCAGCAAAAATGGCTGTGTGATTCTGAAGCTCAATCTCTCTATCCTCAGTGTGATGCATTGGTTTATCTGACAGCTGTAGGGAATGGTGTCTTTAGGTTCTGAAACTTGCTGTGGAGGCCACCTCATCCATATTTGAATTAGGAGTGAGTGGGGGAGGCAGGGATGATTCAAACTCCTTTGGGAGAAAGGATTCGTCCTAAATTCTAAAATGGAAACAACTGCACTTACATGTTGTCTTGGTGCTTCTGTAAACCCTCGGTCTAGCAGAAGTACTTCAGATTAGTGTGTAATCATTCATGCCCAATATTGCTCCACTCACAAAGAGTAACTGTCCTTTTTGTTTATTACTTTTATTACTATGTTTATTATTTTGCATGTGCTTTTCATCATTATTATTTGTGTGAAAACAGATGAGTCAATTTAATATGACTACTGAGTAGTGGTGATTGGAGAGTGGGAGATTGGTGGTGAGTAGAAAAGGCCAGGACAAAATTTTGGAAAATGAATGAAGACAAAGTGTATACAGGGAGAAAAGTATAGACATATCATTGTTTGTTATTAAAGGAATTTGATGAATCACAACTGAAGCACAGTATTTTTAACAGAAAATCAGCAATTATAATTCAGTTTAAGGAAACTCTGACAACATGCATTAAAGAGTAAAACAGGAGTGAGTTGAATAGATTAGTAACTTGATGAGTTATTACAGAAGTAGAAAAATTTGCTACACCCAAAAGATACCAATGCTTTTAATTTTATCTAATATACAAATATCATACATTATGTTAAAAATATAAATATAATTTTATTATTATTTTGTAATCAGATACCTAAAGGATTTTACAAAACTATGTGCCCCTTTACACATTTTTAAGCCAACATCTATTTTTTATAGCTTTGAATAGCTGCAAAAATACAATTTTTAAAGCATCGTATATTCTATAAGTACTTTAATTATTTCATCAAGATCTCAGAAGTGGCAGATTTAATTCATTTTAATTCATGAAAAACATTTGCTGTACAATTTAATTGGCAAGTCCCATAAAAAAAAAACCCTAATTATTAATCAACCAATTCAGACTTACTTTTTATTAGAAAATAAATTATTCAATTTAAATAAATGTGTTAATACACAACAAACAAACAAACACACACCACCCTTCTGAACTGTAGGTAGGTGCTGGAGAGCCAGGGTAGATGAGAGGCTGAGCTCAAAACCACACAAGTACTAGGTCCTGATTTTACTACTCATGAGCTAAGTGACTGTGGGCAAGTTATTTAATTTTTTATGATAATTATTTCATATAAAAAATGGGAATATAACAGTGCTTTTATCACAGGGCTAATGTTTATGAAGTATTTCGAACATAGTATTATCTGTGTTTGTTAAAGAAATTTAAACTAATATACGACGTTCGATGTCTTGCCATGGTTTTGACACATATGAAAGCAGATACTCCTTTCAATATTTGTTACTGAAGCTCTCTTTTTTTTTGTAGGCTTAGCTCTTCTTTGTATCTAGATTAATAAATCTTACAATATACTTTTTATTGAGGTAACATTAATTAATAACCTTATGTAAGTTTCAAATGTAGAACAGTATAATCTGGTATCTGCAAACACTATAGCATGCTTACCACCAAAATTAAAAAATGGGTGGAGGATCTGAATAGAAATTTTTCCAAGGACGACATATAGACAGTAATAGGCAAATAAAAAGATGTTCAACATCACTAATTATTAAGGAAATGCAAATCAGAACATTTATTTTCTCAACATTCCATTTCTTGGTGTTCTTAGCTTGGTTTCCCCCGACCCACCCCCATAATTGGAGACTTACAAGGATGGAGAGGGAATAGAGCCATCCTCCCATAGCCAGCTTCTGCTAGATGGATCCCATGATAATCCCAACCAGAAGAAAAAAAATTGGGGTAATAGTTGTGACTTCAGAAAATCCTGAGAGAGAAAAAAAGAAAAAAATGTTATGTGAGAACCACATTCCAGTTCGCAGAAGTAAGATCGATGGGAATATTCACTAAATTAATTTATTAGTTCTCTTTCACAATGTACTGAATTCTTACTATGTGCATCAGAAGTCCCATTTATTTACTTTCCATTATATACATAATTTCTATAACTAGGGCAAGAGATTCAGCCAGACCTTTTCTTCCAAGCTATCTATCTTCACCAAGGTAGAATTCTTGTTCATGCAGATTTTTCTGCTATTAGTCCAGGTTTCTTCCTCATTTGTTGCAAAAGAATAGCAGCTGTTTTGGTACCATTGCCACATCTTAGGACAAGGATTACACTTGTGGTCTGAAAAAGAAATTACACCTAATCGTACAAACTAAACAACTGTGGAGTGACTGGGGAAGGCTTTGGAAACTAAATTGTTTAATTTGATGATAGGGTCTGAGATCTATCACCCTGAAAACATATTGCTTTAGGAGTCTGATAATAAAGTCACCTCGATTATGGCTTGAGACAGTGATGATTGAAATTCTTTTTTCAGGGCTCAGTCTTCTGGCTTCAGAATTACCAGCTATATTTTTAACTTCTTATAACAATAGGATCCCCTAAAAATAGATCATAAAGTGAGGGGCTAAAATATCCAGATTTATACCATCCCGAGATGCTTCTCAAATGTGCCTCTGTGTTTTCAAAAATATCGAATGAATTTATGTCTTCCCTTGCCTTCTGTAAAGCTAGTGTGATATTACTAGGGGTCATTTGATAGCATAACTCTCTTATACTCCCAGGTATTGCACATAAGTAAGCTAAACCTAGGCCACAGATTTCATCTGACTGGTGAGTAGGTCTTGATTACCTGAAGTGTGAATGACTAGCTCTTGGCAGAGTCTGATGGCCATTTGTCCCTGCCTCTTCAATAGATCGGAGATCTGGGATTTGAGAAATTCCTCTTCTGTGGACAAGTTCCCGTAGTTGCTGAGTTGCTGGGATAAGTTATCCTGCCGTTGGTGGATGGTTTTCTGAAGTCGACTTAGTTTCTCTGAATCTGAGTTAATTTCATTAGATGTCTGTAAAACTCCAAGCCATAACAGGAGACAAGCTGATACATCCATTTATCCTCATGGTAGCCATAAATAATTTTCTTAATACAGAAATATTTCTTACATTGTTTAAGATTTATTAGTAATTCTTAATAATGGAGGTACCGTGGAAGAAACACACCACATGCCTTTCTATTCCAATTTATGTAGAGCTCATCTTTCTAACTTTATTTATGTTTTAATTATGATTGTATTTGTATTAAAATAATTGATCAATAATTACATATCTCTGACATTTCATTAAGTCAATGCCAGTCATTTTGCCATTCGTTTGGTGAATTTTTTTTCTTTTTTCTATTTGGAGTTAGTTCATGTAATTGTTTTAACAGGAACAGAATCTTCGGGTGCAATGGGTATCTCAGACTATGGTCTGCAGACAACTTGAATCAGAATCACCTGGAACATTTGTTATATTTTTTATAAAGGCAGATTTTCATGCCACAGGTGACCATTTTTGGTCCTAGATTTATAGAATATGCACTTTTAATAAGCGCTTTAGGTGATTCATGAGCAGAATAAATTTAAGAACCACTGCATTCAAAGCTCTGCACTTTAGCATAAAAAAGCATTCACTCTTCTATGCTGAACCAATAACTACCCACTGCATTTTCATTTAAAAAAATATACATCGTTGTAGAAAATCAACTGCTAACCCTCATGATGATTAGCTACTGAATATCTGTTACTGCTACTAGAACATCATATTTCTTTTCAAAAGAACAAACTATACCCTTAACCTTTATTTATATGTCCAAATAGGTATGTCTAAATCCTAATAATCGGTGGGATCTTACATATAAAAGAAATGAAAGTAGCAGAGGAGACATTAGTATCATTTAGCAAATTAACATTCTTGACTGCAAATTCTCTGAAAATAAATAAATACTGTGCCAACTTTTACTCTGTATATCACGTACTTAACAATATCCTATAAAGTATGTATTCTTGGGATGTTTTTGCACCCCATCAACCCCAATGATGGGCCAGAATCAAGGCAATACTCTTTTTTTTTTTTTAGCTTTTGCTTAGGAGTGGAGCTTCCATTTTTATGTGGAGGTAGTTCAACTTCCTATCTACTAGCTAAGGTATCTCAGGTGACTTTTCATTCTAGTTTGTCTCTCTTTTTCATTCCCAGTAGTTTTCTCTACCCTAAAAAGGTCTCGAGTGATGGATTGTACCAGTCTTGTACACAGTCTTAGGAATAAACAAAATGGCATGCTCTTCCTTGAATCTACCTTCATTAGCTCCCTGTTTCTAACCATTGAGATAATAAGAGATTGTGTGTCCATGCAGAAAAGAGACTCCTTAATACAACCGGTAACTGGAAAAATAAAAGTTGTCTTCATAGTCCAGTATAGCTTATAGAGAGAAAACAATGGAATTAGGGCAAAATCCTTATAATAATAAAGTATGTTCCTTGCTGGTTTACCTTGGAAACATGGAGAAAGAGAAATAGGAAGTGGCAGAAAATGTTAAGAGTATTCAGGATATAACACCTATTATGTAATGCAATCTAAATTTATATAGTTTACACATATGTTTTCTATTCACCCTTCTTGGGTTTGATGCAAGTATACTTACACATAACCCCCAAGGTCACCAGCCCAATCAGCAGCATCAGACAAAGAGTTAGCAGACTCAGGGCAGCCCAACGCCATATAGGGGCTAGAGCTGAATACTCTGAAGAAAGACAGCAGAGGAATGAGCAAACAAAACTGCCTTGTGGTGTTCCACACGGTTGTTCATTTCTCCTGCTCAGGAAGATTCCTAAACTTTTTCAATGACCCTATCTAGAAAATACCTAAAAAATGTGATTTAAGAGCCTTACCATCAGTTCTCTTCCATTTTTTTTTTTTTTTTTTTTTAGATATTCAACTTCTTCCATTAAGAGTGTCTTCTAATTTCCAGGTTTTTGTTTTACATCATCACGTACCTTTCTTCCTCAAATTTACTGAATTCATAAATAAGATGTTGCAGAAACTGCTTCCCTAGATGATCCTGACAATAGGAGATACCTCAAGTTTTGGAGATCATAAAACTCCATGAGGCAAGTGTTATTGTGGATTTTATTTTTACCATTATCTATTCTATTTATCATCTAGTAGGTAATGAATGAATGAATGTACAATCTAACCTACAAACAGCAGAGTAAACCAGAAAGCCAGTGGAAAACTCTTCAAAATTTAGCATCCTACATGTATAAATATATACACAAATGGTTCTATTTACCCCATTCCTATTCCTTAATTCAGGATTTAATGGCATCTAGCTCAATATTTTAGATAAACTAATGCAATTTCCAGGTGCACTATCACACATATCACATCCACAACTTTTTTCAAGGATTAGAGCTAAGTTTTTCTGAAGAAAAGAAAACAAAAATGTGTGACCGTTACCTTTATGAGAAATATGCAAAGTCGATTCCCATCCTTTCTTTGTATATTGCTACACACACACACACACACACACACACACACAGTTAAACTAAAAATAGATCTAAAGACAAGAACATAGTTAATATGTTTTAGATAATTTAGGACAACAGCCTTGAACTGTCAACAGTTCCTGGAAGGTAAGGGATGTAGTCTGATATGTTAATTTGGATTCCTGACCATGGAGAATGCTATTTCTCCCAACTGAATACAGGAAATGAGTGAAAGATTAGAATGTCTGGACATGAACCTGGTTAAATCATTTAATTTCTTTCGGTCTCAGTTTTTTCATTAATACACTGGAGAAAATACTCACATTATTCCATTAACTTCAAAATTATATTTTGATGAAGATATGACATAATGCATATAAAATACTAAAAAATATATTATTATTGATTTAACACTGCTAATTATACAGGAATTTCAACTCCCAATGTTTTTTTTAATACTTAGACAACAAAAACTATCTCTTGTCTATTTCCGATTCACTTATCTCCCAATTTTTTCCTTCAGTTTTTTTATATCTTTGGGAAAAAGTTCCTTTCACATTCTCTGCTTTAGAAGCCTCTAATCTGTCTTCAAAAAGAATGGTCCTCTGGCATCTCTTACAAGGCACAAATATCAAGAACTACATTTATAAAAGAAATCTATTAGTCCCCAAACTCAATCTCTGTCTGTCATGTCCAAATAAAATTTTTCGCTATAACACAGTTTCATGAAACGTAGTGATAGCACACAATTTAATGAGTTTCTGGAATTTACAAATGTGCCCTTGAATTTTGGCAACACTCATTCCACTAATATATTCCACCAACTTCGTCTCCATTTCTAAGCGTCTACAGCATCTTTCTCCTGAGCACCGGTATGAAAACAGCACCTCGAGGCATTAAACTCTGATCCATACCCTGAGATCGCGTCTTGCTTTCTCCGAACTCCTACCTCTTTTCCTTAGGTTATGTCTATCCTGGTTATTTCCTGCTCCAACAGAATCCTGAAAGGTGAGTGTTGTGTAGGTCACTTCTTCAGACATTGTAGAAGAAAGCACTACTATAAATTATGTAATTAATGTTTCAATATCTTCAGGCCTGGGAACAAGATGTTCTTTTCAAGGCTGGGAGCTTTTATATAGATACTCAACTCACCCAAGACACATCCCACTGCCCCTTTGTAAGGATAGAATAACAATCAGTTTTTCTGCAGAGAACGTGAGAGAAGTCAAATATTCTTTTTAGAAATCAGAATGTTATAGATTTCAAACTGTCTGCTCTTTCATTATTGTTTCTTGCTGTGAAGCAAAGAAGGAGTCCTTAGAAGCAGAGCGGGAATGGTGGTTTTATGCAGGAATCCCCATGATCCTCAATGATTCAATAAAGGGTCAGATTGTCCTCTTTACATGTGTCAAAGACCAGCTAATCCTGTATGGACACGTTAGATCTATTTTATACTCATCTATATCAGATATCAAGCAGATACTCATACTAAGACGTATGAAAAAGATGTATAGTCACATGTACTGAGACAGGAAGAATTGTATAGTTAAAAGCCGCCCACATCTGGCTACTATTCTGCTGTTTTAAGAAATCCAACTGTGTGTTTGTGTGTGTGTGTGTGTGTGTGTGTGTGTGTGTGCGCGCGTGTGTGTGTTTAGTGGTACTGGGGCACGAAGAAGAAATTGATAGCTATTAAAACCGTTTATGAATGGGAGTTCCCTTCTGGTATGGCTAAGTTTATAACAAAATAATCCTCTCATAGATCATAGCTAATACTCAGGACATGATTTTAAAAATAATTATTTGGAGGTTTCGGGAGAATGAAAAAAGCAGGCAGATTCCCAGGAGAATGAGACTGGCACTTGGTAAGGTGTTTCTGTTTTTAATTCATCTGGTTGGTTTGTTTTTAATCCGAGGGCAGCCCACAGCCATTACTAAGGGCCAGCTAAACCTGCTATAGAAAACATTTAGTCTTTTCGGTCTGAAAAACCAGAAGAAGGAGTCTGAGGCAATCACAGGCATCAGGAGTGCTGTATATTCGTAGAGAACACTGGATATGGGGAAATCTCTGTTCTCTTTACACCTTGACACCTCATTAAGCTACAATTTATATTTCATTAAAAAATAACTTGATAAAATATCTACCTCTATCTTCTCTGTCTTAGGCTTAAAAATACCCTGAAAAGATGTTTCCAATAAAACCAAAGTAAACTCAAGGATTTATATTGCAATACTCTAAATTTCAACATCACATGAGCCACAAAGAGTTGACAATTTTTATAGAAAGTGTTCTGGATATTATTTGGAAGAACATAAGAAAATACAGAGTATTGCATGTGTGATTGTTCTTTTAGTCACAATAGGCATCAGATCCACATGGCTCTTGAAGGACGGCATCTACTAATTCCATGTAATTTTCATAAAGTTTACTAATTTTTGTAAGAAAGTAAATTGTTGTTAAGAACCTATTGTAGGTGGAATAACAGCCCCCCAAAGATGTTCCTGTCATAATTCCAGAACCTCAGAATAAGTTAGTTTACATGACAAAAGAGACATTGCAGATGTGATTAGGATTACAGACCTTGAGATGAGGAAATTACCCTGCATTGTCTGGGTGGGCCCATTTTAATCACATGAGTCCTTAAAAGTGGAAAACCTTTCCTACATGTGGTCAGAGAGACATGTGAGAACAAAGAAGGGTCAGAGAGATACAGTGTTACTGGTGGGAAATGGAGGAAGGGAGCTGGGAGCCAAGGAAGACAGAAAGGTAAAGAAACTGATTCTCCCACTGAGCCTTCAGAAAGGAACACGGCCCTCCCATAGCCTTGATTTTACCCCAGTGAGACCCAGGTTAAACTCTAACCTACAGAGCTGTGAAGCAAATGTGTGTTGTTTAAGCTGCTGATTTGTGTAATTTGGTACAGCAGCAACAGAAAACTAAAAGAGAACCCCCCAAAATATTTGAGGGCTATCCATGAGTAATGAAACTAAGGAATATTTTCTAAGAGTTCCCTGTGGGTAAGAAGAAGAAGATTAGATAACCATCCTCAGGGGAGGACTTGGTGTGGGGTTTCCTTTCAGATGGCTAGGGGAGTGATCCAGAACCTTCCAAGGTCCACCTCAGCATGGAGATTATTTTAGTCAAAGGTCTCCAGCATGAGTTACATCTACCTCAGGGATGGGAACAAATATCCAATGGGCTGCAGAAAGGCAATATAATAACCATCATTCTTCAGTAATACTTGTGCATTATCTCTAAAAACATAAATGTACATATATTTCTTGTTCATGTATGTTTTTTTTTTCTTCCAAACTAATGGAATGTTCAATTAAAAAGGGTTTGGAGGCTCTGGGTCATAACAACTAAACTTCATGGCCAAAAACATGGAAATGAATAATAAATCTAGGTTTATGTTTCCTATTCTAGGTAAATTAGGTAAAGACAGAGACCATTTATGGTAGGAAAAGTTACATAAAATAGGCGATTTAGAAATGAGAACTTCAGATGTTTTTCTATTTCTGCTCTGGTCTTTCACTTTCACCAAAGTTTACAAAGACTGAGTTTTCATTTTTATTTCCCTGAGTCTTTCACGTACCTCAAGGTCCTCTAAGAAAATAGTTAGCCTCTTATTATTTTATAAGAAATAATGCATGAGTAGAACAAAACAAAAAATCTCACCTGGTTTCTAATTATTTCTACAAGGAAGATTGTAGATCACACTTTCTACTATTGTGATCCTAAAAGGCTGTATTACACTTATTAGTTTGTAATTTTATTAAATTTAGAAATTACTGCCTATGCTTTTCTCCCTTAAAAACCTCCAGCTTCTCTGTAGCTTATTTTACCAGATTATACAATCAAATAACCCACCTCGTTGTGGTCATCGGTCACTTTTCTAGCACGTCTCTCATTTCTTTACCATGTTTTCAATTGTCTTAAATCTTTTTCTTCACCTCTACTCCTGTGATGATTATCAGTGATTTTAATATCCATGCAGGTGATAAATCCCATACCCTAGGCCCTCAGTTCCTGGATTTAGCTTCCATAACCTTGACCACATCTATAAATCAGTCACCTAGTTATAGTGATCATACTTTAAAACTATTTTACAAAATATTGTACTTACTAGCCGCATATGACTATTTAAACTTAATTAAAATTAATTAAAATTAAAAATTCATTTCCTCAGTCACACTAGACATACTTCAAGTGCTCAGTAGCAGCAGGTGGCTCTTGGCTATGGATCTGCACAACACAGATATATAACATGTCTATTATCACAGAAAATTCTACTGGACAGCATTGCACTAGAGCCTAAACAATTTTATTACCAATATAAGTACCTCTTCTACTTTGGTTTCAGATATTCTTCTCTCTAACCTCACCTCCTATCTTTCCAGCCCACTCCTAATGGTGATGCTACGACCTACAGTACTTTGATGTCCACTAAGATATCAAATTTAGTGACCATTCCACCTTTTCAATGTCATAAATCTCTCATCGCATTTTCTGTTTTACTTGGCTAATACCATTTACGAGAGTTAATGATAATAATAATTTCCTTACATAGAGCCACGACTTCATTGCTTATCTCTTCACCCATCATACACATCTGGAAAATGCAGCCTGGTTAAATCCAACTCTACCTACCCAACACTTGCATACAAATAGCCAGATGTGATTGTATTAACTGGTATTATTTTATATTTTTGAATTAACTTTCCGGTACTGTTACTAACCAGTCTATTTTGGTAATCTCTTAGAAGATTATTCCCAGTTTCTCTTCTTTCCTCACATCTCAAATATCTTCTTTCGTCCCTCAAACTCACTGAGTGTCCTGGTTTTCTATTTT